ATATATACACACACACACACACACACACACACAGAGAAAATTTGCCTAATTATTAAATATGAAAAAGTAAAAGTCAAACGTGTGATACTGTTGTTTAGAAGTGTTTCGAAAAAAAAAGCAGAATTTGTCGCACCTGCTGCTGTGGTTGCCATGATTGTGGTATTCAGCTCTCTCGCTCTCCACTCCACTGACGCGTAACACTCGACTGGATGAAGCCAAAGCAGTCCAACATTTCCCTGACTGGCAGCGAGATCACGTGACCTGCCAGAGCGATTCCTACAACGGTGGAGATGGTAAACTCCGTGTATCGAGCGGTTCTACCTGGAGTGAGTTATCGGTTAGAATTTCTATTCATCTCAGCTGCTCGGGTGTAACGTTAGTGGTAGCCTATTTTGTTTGTAAACGGTGTTTTAAACAAAAATTAGACGACTCATTCGTTCACTGGCTCTCCCGGTTGAAGCACGTGACTGTTTTGGTGGCTGACTACAGCACTAGCAAATAGCATTTGAGCACCGTTTTTGAAAGAGCATTTCTTTGGTTGGAGCTGATGAACGTATACGCCCTTCATTGAACCAGTCGCTGTTCTGTTCTGTTCTAGGAAAACGAGTCTCGGCGGTAACTGTGCTGATATGCCTAGTGTATGTCGAACAAACTCCAAAAACTTCTTCTGTGCGCCAAAAGTTTTTTGAATAAACATTTGTCTGATGAGGGAGATTAACGTATACCGACTTGAGAAATATTTTTCCTGATAATATTTATGTCTTTTCTATCTGCCGTTTAGAACTATTGACGCCCGATTTACGAATGAATCACTCTTGTGAATCGATTCTTTTCAATTAACCTTCCTTACGGGTAAATAATATATGTCTGAATCAATTTGCGATGCAGTCTGAAAGATTCGAACTACTCACTTACCCACTGAACCGACAACACAGAAAGCAAGAGGAGCATTGGATTAAGTGAATTATGTACCTATAATCAATTCAAACCTAACCTGCAGATGCATTCTATCATTTGAGAACGACTCAACAAAGAGTAGCTATCAACAAAATAACAGCACACAAAAGCACGGAGAGCATAAAGTAGCATATCAATTTTTTTTTTGTACTATTTATATGCCAAAAATAGTCTGAATACACGTATACCTTTCTTGTGACATTATTGACAAGAGCAGTGAGACATTGCTCTCTGCTGCACAAAAGATACAGCTGGAAAAAAATAAATAAATAAAAGGAGAGTTTGCAATTTAAATCCACATTGAAAGTGCATCCTGCTCCTTAGTGTTCCTTCATATGAAATGAAAGAAAAGTCTGCTTTTTTTCTATCTCTCTTTTGCTGCACAAAGACACTATGTTCCCACTTCGGAATTAAATTTAATTGAGAAACGGGTCAGAGAACATTTTTGGAACAAGCTTACGGGATCAAACCTTCAGCAGCTACATGTGTTGTTAAGCAACAATGTAGGGCCCCATTAACAGTACTAATTGAGTAAAGTCTGAGAAAACTGTGATCTTTTCATCGTCTCTCTGGGGGAAATGCCACCTCATTGTTGAAGTAAGACTTTCATATAATTGCATTTTATCAAGACAACCAATACATGGTGCAGAATAAAAAAAAAATAGAGAAGATGGTGTACAAACATTACTTTTTATGGGAACCTAATTCAGAAGGGCTTCATGCAAATTTTGGTGCTTACTTGAGAGCTCTGGACTTTTGAATACAAATGTAGGGTATAGAGACTGTAATATAAAACAATGGAGATTGAGGTGGAAAGTGACACCAAATGTGCTTGCATTAACTAAATGTATCGCCCTGTGTTATCTAAAAGATAGATAATTTACAAACAACTGAATGTAGTTTTGTGTAGTCCTGTGACTTTGGAGCCCCCTACAGTTGAAAGTGAGTGAAATCCACCCGCTCACATACAGTAGGGCCTTCTCCCACGCAGACGTTTGAAGGGGAGCGTGGGAAAGAAACAGAAGCCATTCGCCTTATTGGAAGTCAGTGAGCACGTTTACATGCACACCAGTAAGCTGATAACTCACAAATATCAGCTTATTAAAATAACCAGTTTTCCCCGTTTTCATGCACATCAGTAACCTGACAACGCAAGTAAGCTGCGTTTACATGACTTCATTAATAAATCAGGTTATTTCCCTGTAGTGACGTCAAAATATAATCATTTGCGTATCTGACTCCGAGTATTCCATACATTTGTCAGTTGTGATGTTAAATTAAGCTTGCAACATGTCGGGAGACTTAATAAAAACGAAAACTCGTGGTATTGATACGCAAAAATTGACTTTGGCTTGCATATGATATGCATGTGTTTGGCGTGCATATAATACGCAGTTTTCGCGTACATATGATACGAAATTTGTTGGCGTGCATATGATGCGCAGTTTTCGCGTACATATGATACGCATCTACCCCACAACCCTAAACCTACCCATCGCGTAGCATATACACGCCAAAGTCAATTTTTGCGTATCAATACCACGAGTTTTCGTTTTTATTTGGCGTACTATTTATACGCACTTTCATGAGATCGGGTTGCTCATGCAGTTATAAACGCAGCATTGTGACTGAACCACTTCAGAACACGTTTATCATTTTCTGAGTCATGAAAAAGTTCATGCATTTGTGATATATTTCCTTCTTTCTTTACTGCAAGATGTTTGCTCGGTCTAGATGCGCTTAAATCTGCACTAACGACGCGTTCCTGTCACGTATCACACATGCGCACTTCAATAAGCCGACAGAAAGCGGCTTAGCGTTTCCATGCCGTGCGAAATCGGAGTAAGAGGCAAAAAACTACCTGTTGCGACCGGTTTATGCTTACGCTGTTTATGACCTTACTCCGATAAAAGAAAACGGATTACCGCGTTTACATGACCAAGTGCGTTTTCGGCTTATTAAGCATAATCGGTTTAAGAACCTGCATGTAAACGCCCTCAGTGTATCATCTGAATGATTTTGAAACTAACATTTCAATGTGAAACATTCATACAGTTGCTTTTAATGATGGTTTTAAGCTCTATAGAAACAGCGGACTCCGCTAACGATAATATAGGTTGTTTCTTTAAAGAAACAATTCAGAAAGAATTGTTCATGAAGGAAGAAAGAAAGAATTCAGTCATGAATTCATATAGAAAAACATATAGGACCAATTAACCACATTTAAACGGCATATATAGCATATAGAATATTTTATATTGTAGTCAAGGGTTCATGGTAAATGCATTCAGTCATATGCTAGTTTTGGTAGAAAAGGTCATGCTGAATTACTCTCCATGGTGCAAAGGGCTAGTTAGTAGGAGAGGGAACTGAATCAGAAATGAGCAAACAGTATCTGATTATGTATATTCTGGGCCTTGGTTACAGCCTTGCCTGCAGTTAAAAAAAAAACAGCCACTTGATACCAACAGGCCTGCTATTGGTCATCATTCAAACACATGAGTCATTGAATCTGTAATTAATTAATTCAAGGCTCTTGTGCATGACAGCACTTATGCTGATTGTGTGGGCTTTTTGAGGGAAACCCCACTTTTTTTTCCAACTTTGCTCCATTGCATAACATTGTCTGAGATGGAAACCATTTTAACAGCAGTAAACAGATACCTTTCCCCAGCTTCTATGTGATGTATAGGCTAACAAGAATCTCAGTGTTAATTCTTGGCCAATATGAAATTAATATGTCAGTTAAGAGGTGAGTGAATCTACACTTACACTTAGCAGTTGGTGAAATTAATTTTAACTAATGTAGTTAACTTACGTTAACAAATGAAATCTTAGTCTAAAGTGTTACCGAATAGATTTGAACAGCAGAGAGAGAAGTTGACATGATTGCTTGGGTAGGGATTTGTTGAATTTGCTGGTAAATAAAGCAATATCAGAGTGCACACTTAAACAGACATACTGTACAAACCAGATGGTATCTCCCCGAAATGAACATAGAGAGTCGATATTCTAATTAACGCTTCGAAAATCTTGTAATGAGAAGAAAAGAAGAAAACATATCAATTAATGTGCACAGCTGTTCACAGTAAGATATGAAAAGTGTGAATCATTACTGCCACATATTGTAGTAGTATCTAACCATAATCTATATAATAGCATGTAATTTTGACATTTTAGACTGTACTGAACATTTTTACTGATCTAAAGAACATATGCATTTTAGTCTCAAATGAATAACATTGCATTTTACTGGTGTTTTGTTGTTGTTGTTGTTAAAATAAAAAGCACAGTTTACATGTTACCATAATTCTATTTTTGCAATAGCATGATTTTGAATTTAGCAAACTTATAGATTTACTTGGAGAAATGTCACAAATGGTATTATTTGATCCTGTAAAAGAGGTATTTCATGCAGTACAAAGCATCCATGATGTATTTTAGAGGAATTTTAATTGAAGTTGTTTAACACAAAGAACAAAAAAAAAAAGAAAGAAAAAAAGAATTTGCAACACATGGCAGTGCCCACTAGGTGGTGACTTTAAAACACCAATTGGAGAGCAGATGTAACACAGTATGTCTTAGTATGCCTCAAAACAGTACAAACTGCTGATTAATATAATGAACAGTATAAATCTAGATGGAAAATCAGCATTCAAAATATTTAGTACCCAACTATGTAGAAATATATAAAATAAAAGATAAAACAGATTACTTCCCATGACAAAACACCGAAAGATTCCAGAAAAAGCAAGAAGGAATATCATGCTGCTGCAGAACCACAGGCTGATATTGTATATCAAAAAGGTTGGATGACTCCGTGATAATGATCAGACAGGTGAGGGCAGACCTAAAGGGGAAAGCTGTCATGTAGATTGAGCTGGCGAGGAGATACGGTCGATTTTGGTGGACAGGAGGCCAGGCAAGTCCCCCACCATGCAAATCTAGTGTTCAGCCCAGGGCCCATGACTTATGAACTGGAAGAGCAGAATTGACAGGCAAAAAAGTTTTAATTCATGAAAAGATTAATAAATCAGTATTAAATTAATTAACATCTCTACACAAAAGATTGTGATGCTCAGAGCTCCATTAAAGTAACCATCCACATAAAAATGCAAATTTGTTGACAATTTACTCACCCTCAGGCCATCCAAGATGTAGATGTAGGGTTTGTTTCTTCTTCAGAACAGATTTGGAGAAATTTAGCATTACATCACTTGCTAACCAATAGATCTTGTGCATTGAATGGGTGCCGTCAGAATGAGAGTCCAAACAGCTGATAAAAACATCATAAAAATCCACATGACTCAAGTCCATCAAAGTCTTGTGAAGTTAAAAGCTGCGTTTTTGTAATAAACCAATACATAAAGCTTTTTAACTTTAATCCATCGCTTCTGGCCAAAATATCCATAATCTATAATAACGCTTCCTCCAGTGAAAAAGTCCATCTCCTGTTCTCCTCTCACATCAAAATCCACCGA